TGTTGGCAATTTGATCTCTGGTTCCTCTATATTTTCTAAACCCAGCTTGTACAACTGGAAGTTCTTGGTTCATGTACTATTGAAGCCTAGCTTGAAGGATTTTGAGAATAATGTTGCTAGCATGTGAAATGAGCACAATTCTACCTTTTAGATTTTGTGAATAATGATGTGAACTAGCCTACCAGGCTCCTCCGTTCATGGGAGGAGGCAAGAATACTGGAGTGGGTTACCATTTCCTTCTCCAGGGGATCTTCCCAACCCAGGGATTGAACCTGGGTCTCCCGCATTGGAGGCAGATGCTTTAACCTCTGAGCCACCAGGGAAGTCCCAATGATGTGAACACTGATGTACAAATATGTTCAAGCCTCTGCTTTCAATTCTTTGGGATATACAGAAATGGAATTGCTAGGTTATATGGTACTTCTAAGTTTGATTTTCTGAGAAACTGCCTGCCATATCACTTTCCACAGTGCCTGCACAATTTTACATTCCCATGAGAGCTACACAAGGGTTCTAATTTGTTTGGTTGTTTTAAGTAATGTGCTGAATGGCCTTTGATAAGTCACAATTTCTCTGGACCTCAAGTTTCCTCATCTATTAAATGAGGGAATTAGAATGGATAATCTTTTGGGTTTCTTCTAGAAAAAAAACAACAACAACACTATATTGGTCTAATTAAATCAAGTTGCAATTAGAGTCAGAAAGCAGTTTGAATGGTTTGTGAGGCATGACTTGCTACCTTAAACCCTCTTCCTAATACAATAAGTAGAAGCATACTTTTTCAGAGAAAAGGGCCAAGAGTCTAAAAATGCAAAAATGCACCCCAGTCTCATTGATGACATTGGCATCTGCTTCCTGAGCATCTAGTCTATGCTCAGCACTGTTCCAAGTATCCCCCCGCATCATCTCCGACCCCGAGGGTACAGATGAGGAAAACCGAGGCATGGCAGAATCACACTGTGTGCCCAAGTTCCCACAGCCAGCAGGTGAAACAGCCAACATCTGCCCTCGGACAGCTCTGGTCTGCAGGCCAGTTCCTCACCACCGGGCGCTGACACTTCCCTTCTGGGTGCTGACCCTTCCCTCCTGGGTGCTTCTCCCCATATCTTGAGAGCTCTTCACTGTTTTCCTCCTTTTCTTTGATCACACTTCTGTTTAAATATCTCAGCCCTCTGCCAAGAAAAGCTGAATTTCCTCAGCTATAGCATTTAAGCTTTTTATTTTTAGGCCTGGGGGCTGAAATGTACAAAGCTGTCTCCGAAATCGTCTCAGTGAATATGTTTTAGTAATTTTCTCTGACATCTTTTCCAGTGTTTTTCAGAAAATTACTCTTAAGGTACACTCCTTGAGGGAGGAAGAACCAGAATGCTTACCGTGTTCCTGCGTGGCTTACGTGCACGAATTCACTGAACCTGGGGAGTAACCCTGCGACATGGATTTTATTACTCCGATTTACAGATCTCTTGAGCAAGGACACAGATTCAGAGAGGTGTGTTAGCTTGCCAAGGTCATTCAGCCAGAGCGTAGCAGAGCTGGGAGATAAGCCTGCCGTGGACTGAAACCCAGGCTTCCTCGTACAGAAAGATGCCCGAGAGAGGACACAGAGAGCCACGTAAGAAAGTCAGTGCTCGGCCAGTGACACAGCATCATCCCCTGCACTGCTGGCGTTAGAAAGGGGCCAAAATAAAGCGAAGCCAAGAGGTTCACAGCTTCCCAGATGCGAGTCTGCAGGGAGAAGGAACAACTCAGTCCTCACTGAAGAGCAAAGATTCGTGAGGCACCAGAGGCTGTTTTCTCCCAGAACCAAGATTGTGGAGGCAGGATGCCCCTGGATAACATATATACTAGTTACCAGCAATGTTTCTATAGGTGTCAAAGATATAAAGTAATTGAGGGAGGGATAAGTCAGGGATTAACATACACACACTACCTATATAAAATAAACAACAAGGACCTAGTGTATAGCACAGGGAGCTCTGCTCAATACTCTGTAATAACCTATATGGGAAAAGGACCTGAAAAATAATGAACATATGTATAATAGACTCACTTTGCTGTACACTTGAAACACAACATTGTAAATCAACTATACACTAATAAAACTTTTAAAAAAGTAATTGGATCTATCTGGTTAAATATAAATCATCTTAACAGTTCCATGTGAATCTTAACCTTGCTTAGTAGATACTCTAGGTTTTATAGGGATTGGGCTAAAAGGGGTGAAACCTGTGTCTCAGATTTAGTGGGGAAGAATTCTCTTAAGAGGATTCTAAATGCTAAAAAGAGGTTGAGGACTTCTAAAAAAATTAAGAGGAGCAGATGCGGTGATGGTCAACTCAAATGCTGATATGGTCTCTAAAGATTTCTCCCGGACCTGGATTCAAAAGGTATTAAGTGTTTATCAGAGAAAGACTGAACTGGACTGTTAATCCTTAAATAGGGAACATTAAAGTTTCTTGAGGCACAGACTGACTTTTGTTTCCTACCCTGGAAAAGGACATGGCAACCCATTCCAGTGTTCTTGCCTGGAGAATCCCAGGGACAGTGGAGCCTGGTGGGCTGCCGTCTATGGGGTCAGACACGACTAAAATGACTTAGCAGCAGCAGCAGCTTCATGATACCAAGCACAATAACTTTTATATACTAAGGCCAACAATGCATATTTCCTTATGGCATGAACTAGCATTTTAATTTGAATTATATAACTCTGCGGTCTTTCTTTTAAATAGTAAAAAAAAGCTAAATCAGCTATGGTAATTGGACTCAATTGGACTAAATACGTGCATCATGAAAAGCCATTAGTACTGTGATGGCAGGCCACAGGGGATTAGCATGTCTTGGGAGTCAGAAGGACCCCAACTCTAGACCACAGGACTGGGAGAGTAATAATTCAAAAGTAAGCCCAACTCTGCAGCACAATTTGTTGTGTTATCATAGATTAGGTCATCATAAGTAGCTAGGGCCAGCTGAGGTGAGTACATTTTCCTTCCAAGGGTTGAGAAATTTTAAGGCATAAATCTATAAAGACAAGCCCTTCTCCCTGATTTTTTATTAATGAAAAATTATAAAAGCCACATTCTCCTTAGTCTAAATTTTCTACTAAATATACAAATAAATTTTTGTTCTGAAAACAGGGTAGATAGAAGACATTTGATAGAATCCCAAAGTACTTCACTTTTATTTCTATGTGCAATTAAAGCTTCTTCAATATTAGGAGAGCACCGGTGCCTGAACTTGAGAATCAAGTAATAAATTACGATTCACTTGGGCAATATTTGCCTGAGAAGGATTTCTGTGATCATTTCCTGAGAAGTCTCCACTTCAGAAGTGGAGACTTCTCAGGAAAAACCATTCTATCAGCCCCAGGACAGAGTAATCTGTAAACAACATGTCCTTAAAGTGACACTAATTATATGATTGGAGATTTCCAGAGAGACAAGTCTCTCACCAACAAAGCTAGTATTTCCCGAATTTAGTTTTTTTTGTCTCCAATCACTGTAAGTGATATAATTTGAACAAAGTAATTTTTGTTCATAGATACTACCCATAGATACTACCCCAGAGAGAATGGATTGTTCTGATATTCCCCTATTTGAAGAATATTCATCTTTATTCTCTCTGTGCATATACTGGGAAATAATACCTGATTTCCTAATAGGGTATTGACCCAAATTATGTTATTCTCTTATTACATGTTAACTTTTTCATAACTTTATATTTTACTGGTATATTCAGGGTCTATAGGATATATAAGACTGTAAGGACAACAGGTGATGTCATATACCTGGTAATAAACAATATGAAAAAATTAGTTATCATTCTGTACATTAAACAGGTCCTAGAATCAGAAGGTTATTGGCATATGGCAGGGCCCCTGATCAAAGCCCTGGAAGAATTTCTCCTTCTTGTTGGTTGTTCCTTCTTAATTTTTTTCTGGTTTTCTTCATCTATTTCTTTTTAATGCTTTTTATTTTATACTGGAGAACACTGATTAACAATGTTGTGATAGATTCAGGTGGACAGTAAAGAGATTCAGCTGTCCATATAGATGTATCCATTCTCCCCCAAACTCCCTTCCCATCCAGGCTGCCACATAACATTTAACAAAGTTCCCTGTGTTACACAGTAGGATCTTGTTGGTTTATCCATTGTGTATATTACTTGTTACTTTATTATTTTCAACATAAAAGCATCAAATCCATGTTTCTTCCACACTTGAAAATAAGGCTTCCATCACATTGCCTTAAATGCACAAAATGAAGACTTTTTCTACACGATATTCCACACTGCACCTAAATTGTGGGCCTGGCACCTGATTTACACAAGGACAACACAGAAGCAAATGAGATCTTGCCCAAATCTGAAAAACCTCTCTTCTCTGCCAGCACTGCTGGAAAGGCCCCTTCATCCTGCTCCTTGGATGTTGCCGACAGAAACACAATCAGTACAGAAACAACTGCTAGTGCCATTTACATGACCCAACAGCCTTATTCATCCTGACTGGACGAAACAGGAGCATCACCTCACCTACACTGAAGCCACAAGTGGTAGAAATAACTTGATATTTGGCCAACAATGCTATCAACGACTATTACGTGTGCTCAGTTGCTCAGTCATGTCAGACTCTTTGCAACTGTATCCCACCAGGATCCTCTGTCCATGGGATTCTCCTGCCAAGAATACTGGAGTGGGTTGCCATTTCCTCCTCCAGGGGATCTTCTTGACTCAGGGATCAAACTCACATCTCTTGTGTCTCCTGCATTGGCAGGCAGATTCTTTACCACTAGCATCACCTGGGCAGTTGGCTCCAAAATAACTATTGCATAAAAGGACAAAAAAGCCTGAGAAAACTCTGGTTCTCTGATTCTATAGATTAAAACACACATTTCAGTTAGAGCTGGTATGTGGTATCAAAAAACAAACAAACTTCAAACCCAAACAGCACACACAGCAAGCTGGTTTGCAATAGTTGGAAAGCTGGCTGAATATGTCACACTTACAGATTTCAGGATCCCTGTGGCGTCTTCATGCAGCCATGTAGGGTAGACCACTTCATCATTCAGTATGGCCTCAAAGAGGTCATCTTCGTTCTCTGCCTCGAAGGGCGCGTGGCCACACAGCATCTCATAGAGCAGCACGCCCATAGCCCACCAGTCCACCGCGGGCCCGTAGAGCATCTCCTGGAGGATCTGTGCAAAGGGGTGACATGAGAGGAGCTCTGTGCATCTAGTGAACAAATGCACCCTTATGACTACAGAAAATGAAGGATTAGGAGCTGAAGTAAAGCACGGGAATTTCCTGCACTGGCATGCATGTTTCAGTCCATCTCTAGATTGGGGTCTATTTTCCTGGGGTCAAATCAGAGGCCTTCTCATTCCGGTGGTCAAACATCTATGATCTACTTAGGCCAAAGTAATAGTATACGCCAATCCAAACCAGAAAGCGCTTTGGGACTACCTCTGTGGAGGAGGAGGAGGTGGGCTCACTCACTCCTATGGGGGCAATTCAAGAGCTTGTGCTTATTTCTGCTAAATGGGGCCAGGATCAAAGCTCTGCGTAGAGACAAAGAAGAAAATTAAATGGGCCAGGTGTAGAGTGCACTTTGTCCTCACATTCAGGGCTAAACCCTGAAGCAACTGCAAAGTTTACAAAACTCTCTTGGTCTTGAATTTGTACTGGGAGGAACCGAGGACATTTTCAGCCATCATTCACCCAAGGAGCCAGAGAGGAGTCTGGAGGTGTCAGCTTTCAACGCTGCCCACAAGCTGCAGCGTTTGCTTGGCCTTGCCTTTCGGATGGGGCTGCTGGGGAGTCTGGATTCCCAAAGCCGCTTGAGCAGTGAGCACACTCACCTCCGGAGCAATATAGTCGGGCGTGCCGCAGAAGGTGGCTGTGGTGACCCCATTGCAGATCCCCTCCTTGCACATCCCGAAGTCTGCCAGTTTGCAGTGGCCCTCGTGGTCCAACAGTACGTTGTCCAATTTCAGATCTCTGCAAGAAAAACAGAGCAGTAAATATGGGAGGGCAGCCGGGCCCCAAACCATCTACCTGGCTGAGCTGGGTCATGAGATGAGGGGTCACATAGCCGGGAGAGCTTTCTGCACCCACCCTTCAAAGGGGACACACTTGTTTGTGTTATCTGGATAAGAGATTGAGATCTGCTCTCAAAATCTGCCTCATGGTCCTGGATGATGGTTCCATCTGAATGGGCTAACCACGCATCAAAACACAGGCTGCCCATTAAAAACTGACAATGTGACTGCCAGGCTTCCCACTGACCTTCTATCCAGGAGACATCCACCCACCCTACACCCTGTTCTGTGGCATCTCTCTCTGCCCACTGGCCTTCGCTCGGTGAAGTCCTAGAGCATGTGGCCACTGCGCAGCACACACTGTGACAGGCATCAATAGCAAGATGATCCTTCTCCCCAAGGAACGCACTGTGTGTTTGGGAGACAGATATCCACTCGACTGTCAGCTCCACGGAGGAGGCATCAGATGCATCTGGTTCACACTGTGCCTAGCACAGTGCACTCAATAAATCTTTGTTCAAAGTATATACACATAGATGAGTGTGTGTGTGTGTGTGTGTGTGTGTGTGTAGATAACATAAATATGTGTGTATACATACACACAGACATTGGGGGAAAGAGGAAAGGGGAATGATGGGGGAGGGAGACAGAACCAACTGTTGTGTAATACAAGTGGCATGAGAGAAGTAGGAACCATGTGCTGTAAGAGAAAAACAAGAAGGAACAATTAATTCCTATTAGTAGCAGGACAGAGGGACAGTTCCACAGTAGAGGCAGAAACTGAGCTGGGTCTTACTGCATGAGTCAGTCTCCAAGGTGGGGAAGCGGTATGAGACGGTCACTGTGGGCAGGTGGACAGGGCCAGTGCACAGAGCAAGCGCAGAGATGCAGGTGAGCTCAGGAACCACATGTGGCCTAGGAGGACTCACAAGGAAACACTGAGGCCATCACAATGCCAGGGCTAGAAAGCAGAGCTAGGTCCATACTGTGAAGGGCCCTGCATATCAGACTAAGGAGTTCTGATACTTAGATATTAGGCAAACGTGATCCACTGAAACTCTCTAATTAAGTTTTCCAGCTGATGAGAAAAGATCAGCTAGAGGGGAGCTGAGAGAGTCCAGGGAAGAGATGTTAAGACCTGAACTAGGACGGTGACAGATGGAATGGAAAGTAAGGGTCAGTCAGCAGTGTTTTAGTGAAAACAGGATTAGTCGTCAGGATTAAGGCCTGATGACCACTTAAAGGCAGATGAGGAGCAGCAGCAGAACTGATGACTCCTGGGTTTCTGCCTTAGATTCAGTGGGTTAGTGGGGACATTAATGACCAGGGAAAAGCAAAACAGGAGTGAGAACAGGGTTTGTTTGGGTATAGCCCAGATACATAGAAACCTCAGATATTACGGTGAGTGCAGGGTAAAGGCACTCACCCTCCCTCCCCTAACCCAGAGGAGCAGAATCCAATCAAGGGAAGTTAGTTTCCAGCAGCAGAACTGCTTGGTGAAAGGTATCGATGGAGGTAGGAATGTGGGTCAAATGTCAATAAAACTGTCTGCAAATGAAAGGCAGTGCTCCTAAACACGCCCTCCCCAACACAGGCTTCTGGCACCAACTGTCTCCCATTGCCCACACATACCAGGCATCATAACAGAGGGAAGCTGGCACCACAGCAAGCTGGGAAAGAGTCCCACACACCTACCTCCATTGTCTGCCTCTCAGTCTAGCCTTGGGGAAGATCAGGGGAGCAGCCCTGCCTACAGGGCGACAACCTCAAGGAAAGATGTGCTCAGAGGCAACCACACTGGCTTAGCAGTGAAGGAGGCTGCCCAGCCAGCAGCAATGCTAGACCACCGCCCTGACCTGGAGGTCTCCAGTCGACTGCCAGGTGGGAAGCTACAGTAGCCGTGGCCTCCTGGGGCTATGCTATGGGGAATGACAGTGGCCCCTCACTGGGCATCTCGACAGTGGGGGCTACTGACCTGCTCTGGGTCTTTGCATCCCCAGGGGGCTGTGTTGGGGCATTCATGGCTCTGTTTTCCCATATCTTCCCATCTCCGCTCTGACAATAAAGGCCTGTTGGGCTGCTTGGCCTGAGGGGAGAGGCTGGTCTCTGTCCAGCCCGGGATCACGTTGCCACTCCAGGGAGGCAGGTGATGACAGAACTGGCAAGACTGGTTTCCACACTGGGCCCAGTGAGTTGATGCGGCTGGACCACGTGGGACCTGCAGACAGGGGTCACTGGAAGCTACCCAGGAAGGAGAACCAAGTCCCGTTTTCCAGGAATCCCCAGAGAAGCAAGATGAGAACAGCAGCACTTTCTCAGGCCAGCCTCCACTCTGCGCTCATGCTCCAGGCGTCTACCGGGTGACTGGTGGAGGGAGATATGCTGGGTGCCTGTGCAGCCACTTCAGCAATGCGAGGCTCCTCCACCTCTAAACCAGACTTGGCCCCGGCCCCCCAATCAGCCTCCTGCCCCTTTCCCTGGGCAGAATCCTACTTCCCACACAAGCTTTCAGTGGGCTCTGGTCTGTGGAAACCATGTCCTCCTACACTGCCCTCTCAACACACACACAGTATGAGCAAGATTTATTAGCCTGCATGAAGGCAGGATCCCAGAAGAACAGGTGTATGGGTTGTTGGCAGGTGGGGAGGATTCTGGTCATAGCCACTGTCAAGAGCATGGTCCAGTCGTTCTGCTAGAAGTGGTTTCAGACTCGAGGCCCTATTAGCGCCTGGTTGTCTGGCTCCTCTGGGGACTCATCAGTCCAAACACTGTCATCTCTAATCTCTGCCAGCTCCAGCTTCTCATCTGCGGCTCCAGGAGGGATCACGGACTTAGGGGATCTGAGCCTCGGGGCTGGCTTTATCAGCACCATGTTCCAGCCCAGCAGTCCCCGTCTGTGTGGTCCTACGCTCAGAGACCTCTGACTCTCACACTGCCAGAAAGGTTGGCTGCATTTCTAAAATCTCCTGAAGCCAATGCGCCTGCTGAGAGCTCAGAAAGGATCTCCTTGGATAAAAGGAGCAAGTGCTAACAGAAACCCACGATGGTCTAAAGAGCCGACCTGACATTGCTCAAGAGAGCTTGTGACTAACGTCCCAGCTAAGAGGTCTGACTGCCTCTTACTCAGCAGCAGTCACAGGTATCAGGACTTGTTCGGGGAAGGAAAAGCGCTTTGTCATCAGTTTCACATGCTGCCCATCACAATGCCCTCTGCACAGAGAAGTCTTGGGACATGGCCCCGCTGCTCAGGACAAGGAACTGAGCGGCCCTAGGGATGTGACCTGGCCTGGTCATAGGATGCCCCAGGGCACAGAGGCCAGTTCTACACCTCAGTCCTGACTTTGCAGTCTCCTTTTAGGCATTTTCAGAACTGGACCAGCCTTGAGGGAAATGCCATTGCTAGTTTCATACCAAGTACTACCTAAGACCCTGATGCTGGGAATGATTAAAGGCGGGAGAAGGGGACCACAGAGGATGAGATGGTTAGGTGGCATCACTGACTCAATGGACATGAGTTTGAGTAAGCTCCAGGAGTTCGTGATGGACAGGGAAGCCTGGTGTACTGCAGTCCATGGGGTCGTAAAGAGTCGGACACGACTGAGCAACTGAACCGAACTACCTAACAGGACAAAACTCTCAACTAGAAATAATAAGTGGGTTTGATGAAGAGCATAAGATAACCTGAGGATTCAGTTCTGCCCTCAGGCCAAACGTCTCATACGTCTACTGTGAGGTCTGTGCTGATGTCCCCAGATAGTCAGCTCTGCCCCCAGAGCACCCAGTTCACAGCTCTACGACTGACAACTTTCACTGCATTCCAGAAGACTCTGTCTATACACCTGTCTCACCCTTTGGCTGGGGCTGAGCCTTATTGCTCCCTGGCCTCAGTGCACACCTGGCACAAGATGCTGACCAAAGAGATAAACAGAGGCATTTTGGATGGGTCACAATGAGTTGCACCAGCCAATTCAGAGCCTATTTTATTTTGGGGGGAAGGAATGAAGTTCCATAAACTTCACTGGGACCCTTGTGCCAAAGTAATTAAACCTACAAAAATCCATGTGCTTTTCCTCCTGAAGAGAGATTCCAGGGGTGAAAGAAAGAGCTCCGAAATATAATAAATTCAAATTCTCTGCTTTAGGGGAAAAGATACCACTTTAGGAGGGGCAATTATAAAGCAGAGAGGACCCAAGCATAATCCTTTCCCCCAGCTCACACACAGATGCAAGAGGAGAACACAGAGCCATTTGTGGCTATTGTCAGCTTCCACTCTAAGGGTAAATAGCTATCTTCACTTAAACAAAAAAACCAAAGCAAAAAAAAAAGTCACTCTTTGACTCCTGAATTGAATATGAAATAGGCAGAGAGGTCAGTTTTTGGCTTTGGACTTCCTCAGCCTCCCCAGCCAACATGTAAGTCAGCAGCCGAAGTTAACAAGGCTCCACAACGAAGATTACAAGTTCATACAGGGCACAGGCTCAGATCCTAAAACACCAAATACACAATTATGGCCTCATCATTCATTAGCTTATTGAGCAGTGGTATTTAATAGCTCTACCTTTGTTATGCAAGCACAGAAGGGTAGAAAGAGTTATTTTATCCTCCCTGATGGTCTGAAAGGTACATTGTTCTTGCCAGGGTAATGAGGGTTACTTAAAATGCCCACAGTGGTTTCAGAGAGGATTCTGATGTGGTTAAAAACAAAGGAAATTCAGAAATTGTATCTGTTTTGTTTTCACCACGAGCTATTCTGAGAGTCATAAAACAGAATGACAGGAGTCTTACTGCTTAGATCTCTGGACTCAGTTATTCTTCCAAAAGAAATAAAGACCAGTGAGTTGAGACTGGCTCCTTGAGCAACAATGCATCTAAGAGGCTATTCAAAAGCTATTTTTAATGTATCTTAAAAAATTTTATCATGGAACATTTCAAACTTATATGGAAGAATAGTGAGTAACA